AACCTCAGATAAATAATGAAAAATGAGAAGCTCGAGTTTCATATGAATATTTTATATTTTTTAAACCAATCGACTCGAACCTAGGACAAGCCAAGACGACATGAAGAAGATTTTTTAAAATAAAGGTGCCTTATATCATGTGTATATCTTATTATTACGATATGAGAGCATAATAAATGATTATAAGTACTAATGAAATTGAAACTTAATTTTTTTTCTTTAAATATTGCAAATTGATGGTATATGACACATCATAAGTCTCAAAGAAAAGTTTAGTATTTAGTGAATGTTAATGAATTGCTTAAATTCAAAAACTGAAGTATATAAATATTTTCAAAATGATACTATAAATAATTCTAAATCAAGTAACTATCTTATATTCTAATGTTACCAAAACGTAAATAGAACAATAAACATTAGTTACTGTATGACTCATGCAATCAAAATAATAGAGCATGCAAAAAAACTGAAATACATACAATCAAAATCGTTGATTTTTAATTAGCAGAATAGGAAAAATAAAAAAGAAACAACATTTTTGTTGCCGTTGTATTTAATCTGAGTCTGTTTTGTAAACTCTTGTCCAAATGAATTATTTCACATTGTTTATGAAACTGCATTTCTATCGTAAAATCGTTTTTTCTTAAAAGAATTTATTAATAATTATTTCGTACATTCAAAACTCAACTGGATTATTATCTAAACGGTGACATGAATATGCAATTGAAGACTCATCAAAGAGCTATGAAATTCATAATTTCAGTAGTATTTTGTCTTGTCTATTTATTCTTGGAGTGAATTCACTGTGATAAAATGGAGTATTAGAATAATGATAAAAAATGCTTTATTTTGTTGATAGCTTGTGGGATTCAAAATTCCATTGAAGCTTTATCAACTAGAACTAATATGTGGGTGTCAATATATTCTTTCCGTTGATATATGATTCAATGCGATTAACCAAAACAATACTAGTAGGGCGTTTTTTTTTATGCAACCTTCATGCTTCACCTATGAATGCACTTTTTTCGAATGATAACTCGAGATGTTTTTTTTATTGGTATAGAAGAAACAATCCTAGGCGTGTAACAGTACAGGTATGATTATACAATTAGGGCACGTATATGTCATGGCGAAGCTAAAAGTATTGTAATAATACGTAGGCCCAAAATAATTGACAAACAACGTATATAAATACGCAGATTTGCCAGGCAAATATCATTCGATTATACATACAAATATGCGATCAGCAATAATTGTTTTATCGTTGGTTAGTATACTGTTTGTTTCTTACTTTTCTTTGCTTATCTTATTTTACGTTTAGTTTCTCTTGACCGTTGTTGTTTTTTCGACACCTCTTCTGCACAATGGATTGCAAGATAAAAATCATGGAAAACACCAGCAAAGTGACAAAGGTGGAAACGGTGAAGAAGGCCAACAAGGTAGAAGTGGTGGGCAAGGTGGAAAAGGTCAACACGGTGGAAATGGTGGAAACAGTGGACAGGGTGGAAACGATGGAAATGGTGGCCAAAGTGGAAACGGTGGACAAGGTGGAAACGGTGGAAATGGTGGAAACAGTGGACAAGGTGGAAATGGTGGAAACAGTAGACAGAGTGGAAACGATGGACAAGGTGGAAACAGTGAAAACGGTGGAAAAAGTCAACACGGTGGAAATGGTGGAAACGATGGACAAGGTGGAAACAGTGGACAAGGTGGAAAAGGTCAACATGGTGGAAATCAATGGCAAGGCTCAGGAGATGGTAATCACAGTTAAGGTAAATAAAGACCATTAGTCAAATACTATACATGCATTCATATGTTTAATATAGGTGAATCTCGCGGTCATCAGAACCAATCGATCAAACAAAATGAATAATTATATAATCGAAAATAAACTTTATTCAACATATTTCCATAATTTTTATTTATGTAGTTAGAAATAAAACAAAAAGTTTTTTTTTTTTTTGCTATTAAAATAGATAGAAAAATGTTAATTTTGACATGGAAAGACAAATTTATTCAAAATAAAAATAATAAAATGACACAAGATATTGATTTTATTCATGGCTGAGATTTTAAATCTTCATCGTTTGTATGAGTATTAATCCAATTCACGAACATATTCATATAAATATATACATCAGAATATTCTGCTACTGCACATCCATATCCATATGAAGGTATTCCGGCAATATGATGTGTATCACTTCTTCAATTATAAATCGTCAAAGGTCTAGCACTATAATAGTTTATAAACGAAAAATAAGATTTAAAAATATTGATTCTTTACCGCCTTGGATAAAACCTACATAATATTCAATAATATTATCATACAGTTTTAGGAGAATATTCATTCATATATAATATAATAGATAATTGTATTTGTTGAAGAGTATAAGATCATATAGCATCTTGTTATAAATGTCTTCAATCTATTGTAGTATCATTCATTAGTTCATATGAACATATTAACATATTATTTCGGGGTAAATAAATAAATCAAATATTTGAATCATTGAAATCAACATTATTTGATAATTCTAACAAAGCAATACTATCTTCATAGGTTTCATCATCGAATTTATCATATAGAATAACAGATTTAATTGTAAATCGATTTGAATTTGTATCATTTTTGTATTCAACATGAACATTAACAAAATAGTGTGAAAGTTGTGACGATTTAATAGTATCGACAAAGAGTTGCTATTTTATTCAATGTATTTATTTTCTAGATAATTAAATATTGATATTTGCCAATACATAATTATGAATGAATTCGAACTGTATTACCACCAACAATTCTTAATTCGGCAAAAATAGGTTTTTTTTATGTAAACATCAACATTATTTCGATGATGATACACATAATGACAAATGTGAACGAATTAATCAAAGAAAACGATATAAAATGAAATATTATTTTTCTATGGATGGTATTCTTTTTTATATATATTACAAACGAACTGCTTTAAGTTTGACTGTATAAATAATAGATTGATTATGACTATATACTATGATGCTTCGTCATTTCTATCTTATTTATATGGCGATATTGCTCATTATTTTCAAATAAAAACTCCTACACTTGTTATATTCTTGTAATAAGGCTGCTTCTTCTCGTACATCAATTATAATGAATCATACGATCATTTAACATGAATAGAATATATATGCTTCTCTTCTCTTTTTTGTTTTTATAGAAAACAAAATATTCTTCAGAGAAAAAAGGCAAAGGAAAACATGATTATGAATGATATTGTGAATGTTTATCAAAGTAATTTTGAACTATTTAATATCAGCCGTCGACTTTGATGAATACTTTGATTTTTTATTACTTTATCGATTTTGACAAATGTTCTATCGCATGATTGTTCGTGTTTATTATCTGATTGAAATACTGTATCCCATTCAAATGTATTTGATGTGCTTGCTGGAAGAACACATCTTGGACAACAAGCAGTAAATGTAACCGATTGACAACGTAGTCTAGTACAAAATGTAAATACGTATTTTGCATACACTGTTTTATCATCATAAGTAGCACGTAATTTATTGAAACCATCATGACCTAATTTATCTAAAAACGATTTAATCTATGTATGTAGAAGATCATGTAAAGAATTAAAATATAGAGATATATTTTCAACCAGAACATGACCATTTATACAGTGGGAGCCAATTGAATTTCTCCCCTTTGTTTTTTTTGTTTTTTATTACTATACTTCTTTTGTTTATTAACCCACTATATATAGGGAGAAAGCCCGGAACGCGCTGCATCTTTTGGTATATTTATGCTGAACACCAAATGCATTCTTACGTGTAAAAAGTGTATTAGACAAAAACGTAACATTGTTTTTTTACTACAAGACCGTGTGCCCATAATGTTATAAGGTTTTTTTATTTCGCATATATCTCGGGTTAGGTAAATGATAAAACCTTGAATTCTTTTCCAAAAGATGCGTCTTGAAAAGCTCTATAAAAACTGCATGATTGAGTTCCTGTTCTAATGGTTTTCTAATACTCAAAATGAAAAACCTACATGAGTGTCACTTCGCATCATACTGAAAAAGTTTCGAGGACTTTTTTCATTCGCTATAGGATGTGGTCGATATAACTTTTGTAGAGCTTTCGACGGCACATCTTTTAAAGAAAAAATCAATATTATACCGCTTTCTCAAGTCGAGATATATGCAGAACAAAAAAATCTTCCAACATTTTCAGCAAGGTGGCAAGTGGCCCTGTCGTGTAAGTTGTTCATTTCAAGTATAAGAAAAACCATTAGAAAAGGTACAAAGGCATTCAACCATACAACTGTTATCGAGCTTTTCACGACGCATCTTTTGGAAAAGAATTCAAGGTTTTATCATTTACCTAACCCGAGATATATGCGAAATAAAAAATCTTACAAAATTATGGACACTTTGTAGTAAAAAAAAATCTTACTTTTTTGTCTAATACACTTTTTACACTTAAAAATGCATGTGGTGTTCAGCATAAATATATCAAAAGATGCAGCGCGTTCCGGGCTTTCTTCCTATATATAGTGGGTTAATAAACAAAAGGAGTATAGTAATAAAAAACAAAAAAACAAAGGGGGGAAATTCAATTGGCCCCCACTGTACTTTGAGCAGCTAATATTGCTTCTTCTTTTGTTACATCTTCAGGCTCATCTTGATGTTTAGATACTATTACGTGAATAAAATAGGATTTTGAAATTCATATCACAATGATTTAAGATTAGAAATTATTTGTACAGAATTTTTTATTTTTAGTACAAAAAATTTGATATTTTTTTTGGGTACATGTAAAGGCTTCGCATACCGACAGACACCACTAACACTGCAAAAAGGAACAGAGTTCGAAATGAATATCATATGAACACTCATTCTAGGCTATGCTTTTAGTTTCCAAGTGGAATATAGTCTTTTTTGTACACACGAAACATTCATGATCACTTCAGGTTTTAATTATACAAAATCCTTTATAAATATCAAGATAACTATCGGTATATATTACAATTAAAACCAAGATAGTTATGGGTGTAAGTGTTCAAAACAAGGTTATATTTCAGTTGAAAAGAAAAAGCATAACCCAGAATAGATATCAGTATGATACCTGTTTCAAACTCAATGTGTCTCTTTTTGCAAGTTTGGTCATGTCTTTACTTTGTACATGTACCTTATTGTTCACTAGAAATATTTTTATCGGTAAAATCAAAGAAAACAAATGATCAAATAATATATTACTTTGCTATTTTTATTCAAAAACCAGATGAATACTATCGGACATGTTTAATATCAAAAGACGGTGATGAACTCGACGTCTTTTAGATCATTTTTTAATCTCATGCAAACTTAGCCATAGATTGTATTTGAAACCAAATGGTAATATTCACTTGAAAATGTATCAGTGTTAATTTTATACAATACAATTGCTAGTAATTTTTGGAATGTGTAACGAAAAAAATAGGATCTATCTTTCTTAGTTCTCCGTACTACAATGCATACAACAACATAAGTAAATATTCTCTTAAAGAAGCAAATATCTTTTATTTCTTTTTACTTACAAGGAAAGTTCTTCAACTGATAATTTGCTTTTGAGTCGTGACTATGTGCATGATGCAGACTCGAATTAGTTATGAATGCTCTGAAAAAAGTTCATACTCTTAACTTATTTCTGTCAAGATGCTGCACTGTTACGATACTTTTTTGAATGAATGAAATAACAGCAGAAAAGATAATTTTTGAATTTTGCCTTGAAACTTTGCACAAAGATAGGTCTCAACGAGAATAACCACTTGTGAAAGTTTCAGATATTTTCGTTATTCTTATTCTAAGACACAGCAATGAAAAAAGCGCGTCTTTTATGTTGGTTATATAATATACCAGCAGATTCGATGTTCATATTTCAGAATATCACTACATCAAAAGATTTAACATTTGCACAATAAACTACTCTTTTTTATGTCAGTCTCTGTGTAAAGTTTCAAGTGAAAAACTCGTTTTTCTTGTATTCCTGAGAGAAACCACGACAATCATTAAAAGAATACCGTAAATATGTGATATCGCCGTATCAATAAGTTAAGGGCACGTATTCATTTCAAGATATTCATGGCTGTTTTGGGTCTACATAATGTACATAGTCTCGACTCAGTAGTAATTTATCAGTTCGGAGATTTCTCCTCATTAATAGGATACGTCCAATCAATATCTTGCGATCTTAAATATAGTAATGCATCGCCTCATATCGCTTGAACTAGAGCAATTCCTGACAAATCGTAAAATCGATAATTCATTATTAAGAGATATCGTTTTCCTTGAAAATCAATTTTTCATGACCCCGCACACATAAGAACAAAAAACATCATAAATATGTATATGTAAAAGACAAAACAAACGGCATTTATTGCGCACGCATACATACATAAGAAATAGAAAGCTGAAAAATACAAAGACAATTAAAAAACTGAACAAACAATTTACTGTTTGTACTAGTGTGAAGAACAAGGATCAAGTTAAAGAAAATGAACAAACAATAATAATTTATTAATCTAAGAAGAAATAATATAGCATTATTGTTGTCTAATCAAATAGATATATTTATGTACATTAATAAAAAGTAATTGTGATGCATGTGAAAGACAATTCAAAGTTCTTTTAAAATCAAGACAAAAAAACATAATCGAAATATGAATTCTTGGTAAATTGATAGGACCATGATAGAGAAAACAAATAAAATATAAATTGAGCCTATTTTCGATTTTTTGTTTTTTATAAAAAATAACAACAAACATTCTATCGTGTTACAAAAGATGCAGATGTCTGATGAGTTAAATGAAATAACTCTAAAATACTCTTCTTTACTTGATTAACATTATATTCAATAATAGCTTGTTTTGAAAGCGCTTTTTCATGTAAAATACATACTAATGCTAGATGACGATTAATTTCTTTGAGATAAAGTGCTCGACCACCAGTTAATTTTATAACACTTGATGACATTGAATCAAATACATTTGATGTAGGTTCATTAATCGCATCAGTTATTGACGAACAAGAAGTTTCCGCCGATGTTGTACTTAAGGAACCTAATACATCAAAATACATTTGCTTGTTCTTGTACTTAGAAAACTATTTCAATATCTTACTAGTCGAATATGAATTCGTTGAATCATCAATATCTTTCGCAATAGATTCATTATTTTCGTCATCATTAATATCATCTTCAATTG